GGCAAAATGAGGTATCAAGGCAATACCCCCAAACCATTTCCCATTGAGTTACCAAAACTTAAGAGTTTTAAGGCCAACATAAGGATAAACAGGGACTATCTCAGAAAGTCTGGATAAATAAAGACTCACCGAATTCCCTGAAAATCAGCAGCCTAAAAACTTACAAATACATGACAAACTGATTACTAGAAATATTGTGCATAAGACTGTGGTTTTAAAAGAATATTAATTTAATGACATGTTTAAAGTATCTTTGAAATAGAAAATAGTATCTGCATTTTTATAATGAAAATTATTTAAATTTCTTCAGCATAATTTCTCTCCAAAATAAGAGACTTATTTTTTCCAGGAAAAAAATAACTTTGGGTTCTAATTCTTATGATAGAGAGACACAAATTCCTATATTCTAGTGACTAATGTAACTTTTTAAAGGAAATTTGGAAATAACACTTTCTGCTATCAACTCATAATTAAGGTTACAAAAAATTATCAAATCATTCCAGTAGATAATTTAATTCTGAGGCATTAACAGCAGCTTGGAGGCTGCGCACAGTGTTGAGTATCCAAGTCCTGATGACCTCTGTAATCCTGGACAAGATACTCAAGCCCCACCCCACCTTCCTTAAATGTACGACATGGAGAAAAATCATGCCTTCCTCATAGGATTAAGAATTAAATGAATTAATGGGTGGAAGGTGCTTGGCACGGTACTTACTAATCATTTGCAAGTGCTTTTATTACCACAGAGCTGTGACTGTACTGAGAAGAAACAATGGAAAGGTAGGCCCATCCCTACAGTTCTCCAATAGTGGTAACTACTTTAAATAGACCAATTCATCAGTTTACAAACAGCAGTCAGCAACCGCCAACTTTTAGACTAAATTTGCTTTGTTATTTCTTTGGGGAAATATTTCCTGAGTTGTACCTTCAATACCATAAGATGACTGTAAGATCTAGCCCAGTGGAAGCACCTGTGCTTCCAGGGTTATCTCCTCCTGGCACCTGTCTGGAGCTCCTCCCACCCCAGCCTGAAAGGCAGCCCTGAATCCCCTTGGCCAATGCAGGGGATGTACAAGATAAACCTCCTTCAGCCACTCCCGCAAGAACAAAAGGCGACCTATCCTGGCCTTACACAGAATCCTTCAGCAAAACTCAAAAAGGGAACATAAAAAAAAAATCTAATTAAAGGCACATTACAAACTCTACTTTTTACCTGATGAAAATTACCCAGGAAGATAAAATATAGAGTATACACAGGTCACAGTATTACCTACATTTCTTTGTCCTTACCACTGAGAAATGGAGATTTTTTTATTACAGAATCTCATGGATTGGTGTTTAAGAATTAATAAAGCATCATAGGCAGTATACAAAGCAAGAATAGATGTGAAAGTATAAAATACACATTTAATTCTATTTAAAACAATTCATTAAGTTAAAAATTTTATGATAAATTAAAATTTCTCATTAATGGCAAGTCACAAACTTTAATATTTTGAACTATATAATATATTTGGGATATTGATTATTGCCTCCTCTCCTTTCAGGTATTATTAAATATTATCATCCAAATAAAAATTCTATTTGTTTCTATGTATCTCTGACATTTACATGTGGTGACAAGGGGTAAAAAGGTTACTTAAAAATCTTAAAGTAAAACTTTAAAAACTTTTCAGAAGCAGGTTTAACACATCACATTTTGCTCATGAGCACAAAATTTACAGTCAAAAGTTGCACATAAAGGGTTTATTTTAAATGTTTTAAGGATAGGATAGAGTTACATCATAATTATAAAAATTACTTACAGAATTAACAGATTTATATTGTTTATACTTCTAAATGCAGAGAACAGGGAACTGTCTACACATTGTATAAAATAAAATTAAAATTAAAAATGAATTCAAGCTTGAAAGATGAGGTCATTTACCTAATTTTAAGATGCGAACACAAAGACCTCTGAACTATACACATTCGTTCAAACTGCACTACAATGATGGAAAATACAAAAAGCGCAGCATTTCCAAGGAACCACAAACATTTCGACCATAATTATTTTGTTATTAATAATTGTTCCTATTTTGTCTTTGGAGAACTTTTTTTTTTTATTTTAAGACAATCAGCTTAATGTTTTCAGGCACTACAATTTGTGACAATCAAAACAGTCTTCTAATGGGTCTACGACGTTCAGAGATTCAAGCCCAATGCACTTCGGGGTTTGGCACATAAAACAATAGAAATAAAATCCGGTTTAGAAGTAACTGTGATTGTTTTAAGATGCACAGTCCCTTCAAATGCTGCATGACACGTACGACTGGAAAATCACCTTCTGTTGGCACTACATTTGCTTCACCAGTGCATTTTATCCTACAACCACTACAACAGCACAGTAAGCAAATATACAGAAAACTGAAAACAAATAAAAACAAAGAGAAAACAAAAAACCTAAATATCTACAACATGCATTTTTTGTTAGTTACATTGAACATTCTACTTAGAATAGAGCATGCAAAAAAGGATGGTCTGCTTTTAAGGTTTTCCTTTGAAGCTTTACGTGGCAGCCAGACATCACCCACACGCACACACGACACAATAATACTATAGCAGGTCAATGAGGAAGGCCAACACATTTTATACAGAGATTCATGTCTTGTGTTGTCACAAGTCCCATGATAATTTTGGAAATTAATGTTGGATTCCTAAAACAAGGAACCAACATTCAGATACCAGGAAAACGCAAGCAGTGCATGCAGATCTGAAACATGAGCCTAAAACGAAGCCTGAAATACTTGGCTAGGGAGAATTAGTCACAGCATCAGTAAGTGTGGTTTAAGCCACTGAAAGGAAAAATATTAGGAAAAAAAATGGAAAAACAAAACACCCCTTTCCCCTTCCTCCAGCCTTAAAGGCAACAAATAGAATAATTAAAATAATGATAATCACTTGTCACATTCATCTAGAGTGGCAGATTATGTGGTACTGAAGTTGCTATCAAGATACTTGCAGAAAAACCACAATGCAAGTCATTAAGTAATGCTAGAAATGTTTCAACTGATCCAACCCTCAGGATACTTTCAAAGGACTTTGTTTTTCAGCCCAAAGTCACTGTGCTTGTTTGCCCAGTGCGCACACTGGACACAGTCTGGGCCACACAGGTCCACCCGGGATTGGAGGCCTGGGCTTGGCCTTGAGATTCACATGCAGGGACTCTGACAAGAGCCACCAGAAAAACGGATGATAGATGTACAGCTTGACACTTGTTCAAGCACGGGAGGAGCATCTAAAACCTGGGTACTCACTGCATGGAGAAGCTTGCCCTTGCCTGCCTACTATGAGGCATTGGGCATGCTACAGAGAAATGGGGTGTGTTATGTACACGGTACGTGGGGTTACCATCCAACAGCACAAGGCACGGCCTTCCTGGAGGCGAAAATGGGCATCAATCATGTGGACCATGCGCAGCAAGACCTTGAAACTACAGAATCTCTAACATCAAAGATGTCCACAATGGAGGTGGCTAGGAAGCTCTGGTGTTTCACTGACAGCACAAGTGGTTAGCCTTCTGCCCAAATCTCAGGTAAGATTTCCAATCTCCACAAAAGACTGGTTTCGCATATGGCATTTCTCCTGGCTTTCAAATCGCCAGGACTTATCCAAACCAAGTGACAGAGAAGCATTTTGCTGCTAAACCAACCACTTTTTTGGTTAAAACCACCTTGCAAGAATAAGCCACGAAGGGATTCTGTGGCTAAGGGCAGCTATCAGTCACATCTACGAGATAGCGCGGGCGACTGACCCTGGTGTGGCAGGGTCCAACTGCATGAAATGAATCCATGTCAGCAGCACACTGTGAGCAAGAACATACAGCACCTCAAAAGGTGTCAGATTTCAGCTGGTATTTGTCTAGACGTTCTTTGTGAGGAAAAGCTGGGAAGGGGTGGGGGAGCCTTTGGACCATAATCATTTATCAGTAATAACAGTAATAAAAATAAAAATGTCCCAGAGAACTTGTTAGAGGACAATACTGCTATTCTTAAACCTGCATTCTAATATAAAAGCACTATGTTCTTCCAGGAACTTACCAAATACGCTTACTCAAATGACTGATGTACTATTGCCCTTTAAATCCATGTACTAAAATCCAGATTACTGATTTGTACGAATAATGGACCGAATGTGCTGTCCAAAATTCACCGGCATTATACTGTGTGGAAAAAGTACCTGGGCTTTGCTAAAAAAACAAAACAAAACAAAACAAAAAAAAGTATTTATGATAAAAAATATAAACAAAAAATTTTACAAAGCTTAGACTTAAAGGCAGCCTTTACAGATTTCTAACTATTCTATAAAATTCTATTGTGGGTCATTAACTGTTGAGAAGTGATTCATATTTGGACTTATGGTTTAAAGCCTCCAGACTGAAAAGGTGCTCTGAACTTCTGACATTCAAAAGAAGCTGAACATCCCCTCTGTGCTTCCTGTGCCCAAATTTAATTTTAAATAAACAGCAATAATATATTAGATATAAGTGACTTGGGTCATGCACTCCTGTTAAACTGGAGAAAATTATTTAACCCCCATCCCAATCCACAAAGAAAGGACTGCCAATGAAGTGTGTGTGTATATGTGTATGTGTGTACATAGCTCTATGTGTGTATATATATATTATATATGTATACACACAGACATAGATAGGTAGATATAAGATACATATATATCTCAAAAAAAGCAGTAACAAAAATACCAAACTATGCTTGCATTGTGGCAGAATAAGAGAATGTTAAGAGTGAAGGGGAAATGGATAAGATCTATTACAGTTTCAACTATGATACTAGCTTAACTTTCACCAAACTTGCCTGTAACTCCCCTCCAAACAGACTTCTTTTTAAGAGGAAGGAGTTCCTTACACAAAATGCTTTGTGTTCACATAAATCTGTACTATTCAGAACAAAACCAGTTCTGCTGGCAGAGATTGTGGGTTCGCAGGGACATTTAAGCTTTCATTAAACTGGAAAGCAATCAAGTCTTTTATGTCTACAAATTATACATTTAATAGTTCCACAAATTTGGCAAAGTTCATGATGACATCTAGGATGTTTTCACCAAATCGTAGACATAAATATGGAAATCATCATCAAACTTGATGAAATAGACAGATGGTTTGGCTTCTACTTGATGAATGACCATGCCAGTCCTTTTAGAGCCATCTTCTTTGGCATATTCCACTTGTTTGCCTACCAGGCTGTCCACAACCTCTCCTGGTTCCCTTTCTGCTGGAGGTGAATCATCTATATGTAAAGAGGGGGGAAAAAAAAAATTAAAGTCAAATTTTAGTTACACACCAACTTATATATCTATTTCAATAATAATTAAAAAATTCTTTTTTAAATATTCTGAAGTCATCTTATCTAGACCATGAGCAGCAAACTTTTTCTTCAAAGGCCAGACAATACGTTAGGCTTGAGGCTACATGGTCTCTGTATCAACTACTAGGCCTTTGTGGTGTGAGAGCAGCCATAGATGACATTATAAACGAACGGTGTGGCCGTGTGCCAGTAAAACTTCATTTACAAAAACAGCATGCCAACCCAAGATCTAGACATGTAAACAATTTTGAAAATCATAACCAAATTCCTTTGGCTCATGTTTAACTATGGCTATAACTACCTGAGGAGATAAGGACTAAAAGAAGGGCCAAGAAAAAAATCTAAATAAGGATATATCTTCTTAAAAACAAGTTTGAGTTACTCTAAAATAGGATTTTAAAGCAGATAATACCTACTGGGATTACTGAGAATATGCCACGTACTTAAAATATCTAAGTATTCCTTGTCTTATCCTGTGAACAAGGCTTCTTTCTCCTCAACTTCATTTCATTACACATCTTCCTAAAGCCAATTTCAAAATAGAGACTTCCCATGCTTTAAAAATATGTGCTAAGTGAACTCCACCCCCAGACAACTTAAAACTGAATCTCTGAGAATGGCTGAAGCACCTGTATTTTTTAAAAGGTCCCCAGGGAAATATGTGTTGGAAAAAGCCGCTTTATGACCTAACAGGAATTCTGTTCTAGGTATATACATGAAATGAGAGCAAACTATCACTACCAACAACAACAAAGAAAAATAAAAGAAAAAAAAAGGGGGATAGAGCTAGGCAATTAACAATTCTATTTTAAGAAACCCCATGTAGGCCCTGTTGTAGCAGAAGGCCTTCAGGTAGAGAGACCAGATATCCTGGTTTGCCCAGGACAGTCCAGGCTTATGCCACTTGTCCCAGCACAATGATTAGCAGTGTACCATTAATTCTCACAGGTATCCTGGTTTGGATCATCATCATTTATTTATGTTAATGGTAGTTTGCCTCTATATGATTACAATAAATTCTCTCACTGAATGACACAATCCAAACCCTATTCTTATCTCTGATTCTAAGAGTCACACACAATACAACTAAAATGCTGAGGATAATGTTACCAGTAATTCTTTTAAACAGCGAAGTGATGAGGAAACCTAAGCTGAAATCTCTTCAAAGATGCCCTTCCCACAAGCAGCAGCAGCAGCAGAATTCCACACGGCATAATCCCTTCATGTTCACAAAGGAATACCGAAAGCATGATCCCCATACATTTTGCAGTAACATGAGCAAAGAAGAGGCCACTGTAGAGCTCTTGGATTGAGTCACTAGTATAACTAATGATAAATAAGCTTCCATACTACTATCCATAAAAATATTTAGCAGTTTCATGAAAGACAGGGGAGAGGATAAAGACATGGTTGGGAGAGGAGAGGAAGCATGTGCAAATGACCTCACACTTTCTATTACCGAGTTCACAGTATTTACTTTGACTAGATATAGCTCTACCAAAAAAAAAATAAAAAACCAACTTTATGTAGGTTGGAAAAATGCTTTTAAGGAACATTCTCATGATAATTCCTGTCTATATGAATACTTTCCATTTCGCATTTATAATAAATGTACACAAATGTAATGGAAAAAATTTCAGAAGGCAGAACAGTCAGGGCCTAATGAAGACCTGAGTAGGTAGGTTCACTGACTAGCTTGTTCACAGGAAGAACATATTAAAAAAAAAAAAGAGAGAGAGAGAGAGAGAGAGATTCTGTCACATTGCTGATATTACAATTGTCTGTTCCAGGGCTCCATGTGTTTGAGGAAAGGCTATGGAGTAGTTTAAAAAAGAATAGGCTTACTCAATAATTCCATTCACAATAGCATCAAAAAGAATAAAATACGTGCAAATGAATTTAACAACAGAAGTGCAAAGTGTGTACTATGAAAACAAGACACTGTTAATAAAAAATTTGTTTTAAATCTCAATAAACAAACAGAAAAACGTCCCATGCTCACGGGCCAGAGGCTTAACATTGTCAAGAGGGCAATACTTCCCAAACTGATCTAAAGATTCAATACAATCTCCATTAGAATCCCAGCTACTTCTTTGCAAAAACTGACAGGCTGATTCCAAAATTCACATGGAATTGCAAGAGACCCAGAACAGCCAAAACAATTCAAGGGGTGAGGGAGGGTGGATAGGAACATTCGCACTTTCAGATTTCAAAACTTATTACAAAGCAATACAATCAAGTGTGGCACTGGCATAACCAGACATACGGATGAATGGGATAGAAAGTCCAGAAGTACACCCATACATCTACAGTCAACTGATTTTCAATAAGGGTGCCAAAACCATTCAATAGAGGAAAGAATAGTTTTTCCAAAAAATGGTGCTCATATGCAAAGGAATGAAGTTGGATCCTTAAGCCACATCATAAACAAAAATTAACACAAAACATAAAGATCTAAGAAGAGCTAAAGGCCTATATGTAAGAGCTAAAACTTAAGACTCGTGGAAGAAAACAAAGGAGTAAAATCTTTATAGCCTTGGATTTGGCAAGGGATTATAAGATATAACACCAAAAGCATGAACAAAATAAAAAATAGATAAAATGGACTTTAGAATGCAATCAAGACAGTGAAGAGAAACCACAGAATTAAAGTATCTGCAAATCATACACCTGAGAAGAGACTTATATCTAGAATATTGACTCTTACAACTCAATAATATAAAGACAACCCAACTGAAAAAAAAGGGCAAAGGACATGAACAGACATTTCTCTAAAGATGACATACGAATGGCCAGTAACAATGAAAAAATACTTGACATCTTTAGTTATCAGGGAAATGCAAAGCAAATCACAATGAGATATCACTTCGCAACCACTAGAATCAAAAAGTCAGATAACAATAAGTGTTGAAAAGACATGGAGAAATACATTGTTGACAAGAATGTATAATGGTGCAACAGTGTTGAAATTAGTCTGGTAGTTCCCTAAACAATTCAACATAGAATGATCACTACAATCCATCAATTCCACTCCTAGGTATACACCCAAGAGAAGTGAAAACGTGTCCACTCAGGCACTTGCACAATGTTTATAGCAACAGTCTTTATAATAACCAAAGGGTAGAGAACAATCCAAATGTCTATCAACAGATGAACAAATACACAAAATACAGCATCCATACAATGGAGTTATTTCTGGCTATAAATAAAATGAAGTACCAACATATACTACGACACGGAGCCTTGAAAACATAATGCTGAGTGAAAGAAGCCAGTCACAAAGGACTCTGTATTATATACTCCATTCATAAGAAAGTCCAATGTCCGAACAGGTAAATCTATACAGAAAATAAATTGCTCTTGGCAAAGAAAAAAAAAATTCACATTTGGTGTATTACTGAAAGAATCATTTATTCTTAATAATTAAAATAAAAAATATATCTGCAAAATAATCAGATAACTTGTTCTAAAATTCAAATTACTTTTGAATCATCAAAAATAAAAGTTGTCAATCCATACTTACTAGAATCAGGCATAATGCGAAGGTCTCCTTCTTTATAATCATCTAATAGCTGATACATGTACAAGACGGGGTCTTTCTCATAGGTGATGTAAAACCATGTGTTCATTATAGGGGCACGTGCTAAGACCATTCCCCTCCACTCGTCTTTAGAGCCATCCTCGGTCTCAAACATGTGCTCTACTGCTTTGCCAATCATTGTGTCGGCTAGGTGCGCATCACTGATTCGAGATGTTGCTGGGGACAAAAAAAGCAAACAATGGTTTACAAAACGTTTTACTAAATATGTACTGTGAAAACTGAACATATGCAAGGAGACTATCTGGAATGTTGTCCACATGATACACTAGCCAACATCAGAGTCATCTGGCAGATTTTCAGGACAACAAAACTCATATTGCTGAGCCAACCCAGATTTGATTCCATAGGAACTATTCTACTGTCCCAGGTCAGTTACTTTGAGACTGTTTTTCCTTTTTATTTTTTTGAATTCATCTGCCCTTGGTATTTTATCTAAATTAGAACTTTTGATTGTTTCATCAAGGTATAAAACATTTTTTGTTCTTAATAGTTATTTTAAATTTTGAGATAAGACTTAAAGAAGTTATAAAACTACTAGTGTTACCCATATATCCTTTGACCCATCTTCCCTTTATATTAATATATAATCTTACATAAATAGCCACAGTTCATTTATTGAAACTAAGAAATTAACCTATACAAGGCACAGGTTTTTACTCTTGCTCCTACAATCTATTTCTACAGCAACCAGAGTGATATTTGTGGCAGATATACCAGATTGTGTTGTTTACTTGCTTAAAATGCTCCAGTGCTTTCTTTTCATAATTTGAAAAACGAACTGCTTCTCATGGGCCATCTTCCCCTGTTGGCCCTCTTCCCTCCTGTTCTGTCACCTTCTTCATGACTGACTACACCTTAGCGACACGGGCATCCTTCCTAGGACAACCTCTGTTTCTCCCCATCCCAGCCATGCACTACCTTCATACCTTCAGGAGCCTGCTCTCAAAGGCTCTTCAGAACCACCTGGTGGAAGCATCCCCACCAGTCACAGTCGCCTCTTCCAGTTTTATTTCTTAATGGCATTTACTATTATCTGTAGTTATTTTGTTTTACATGTTTATTTGCTTTTAGCCTGAACACCATGAGGCAAGTAGAGGTCTTTGCTGTCCTATTTCCAATATGCAACTCACAGCGGTACAAATTATTTCAGAGGGCAGTGGGCTGTTCTAGACAACCTGTGTGGTCAGGAGTGTGGCCTCCATACTGGTTTATCAACAGCCCTCTGCAGGCCTGCTCTACATTCTTTTAAGAAGTAGGTAAAAATAACAAGCTCCATTTCTTTTTTTTAAATACTGGGAAATTACATAGATTCCTACTGATTATAAGGTTTCTCCAGTCCTCATATTTTAAGACAAATGTCTTTTTTAAAAAATTAGCACTTCTACTTCACTCATGAGTGCTTCTGTTTCTGTTAAATAAAATTCAAAGGAACAAAAGAAATAACTATGTTGAAATTGTAAACATTTGGGGGAACAATTTTATACATTTATATCTCCCACAGTTCCTTGAACTATAGTTTTAAAGTATCTACTGATCAATTTTTGTGGTATTAAATGATTGATTTAAATATGGAGTGTTTGTGCTCCGATAAAAATTAAAATATCAATAATGCAAAAGAATAATCAGAAAGCATCCATTTCAACAATCATTTTTAAAGCATATAATGCGCAAATAGTAAAGAGAACTTACCAACTCTATCAGGGAGAACTTCAAGTGCAGAAACTCTTTCATCTTTATTAAGTTCTAGTCCATAAACACAGTCAAATCCATCGTATTTTATAAGATACAAAGAAGGGTTTACAGGCACCTGGTCCAGAACGGTTCCTTTCCACTGGGTGACAGGGCCACTCCCCTCCTTCCACCCATGCTGAATCCTGCAGCCTACGATGTTCCGCCGAGGCTGGGACACAGGCTTGCTCGGCCCCACACTGCTCCGGTGTTTTCTATATTCACACATATACACATGTAAGGTATCAGCTCAAAGGTATGCATTCCTAGATCTAACACAACTGCTGCTAGCTAGCATGCTCTCACTAGATGACCCCTGCTGTGCTGGCTAATCTTGCCACTCGGGCAGGTGGCTCCAGGTGGCCACTGCCCAGTCCCACAGCCATGCAGTGTGGCTCACAGGTGGTGCCTTTTTCTACCACCATGTGTATACATAATATGTTGGCAGGAGGAGTTTCCTGTGCACCCTAACTTTGGATAGGAAGAAAAACTTGACTGGTCTGTGGCAACTTAAGCCGCAATAATAAGCATCAGTTTTTCAGCTGAGTTTCCTAATTCAATCAACTCACAATTAGCCATGCATACATATGGCTTTATACTATATAAATCCTTTTCTAGTCAGAAATTATAATTATTCAATTTCATCCATTTGAATGCTCACATAATTTTGCCCCCACTGGCTTAAATGGTAAGAATAAGCTAGACATTTAACTTTTTTCTTAAACTGGAGTCCAGACTGGCTTATATCCATGTATTATACCATCATTACTTCTTTTGAAAACATATATTTAAACATTTAAATTTGTGACAAATAATATTAAAAATTATTGGACCAACACCAAACTACATTCCTTCTAAATTATTAACAACTGAAAAATCTATATGTTTACAGATAATACACCTGGTTCTTGTTATCAGGAAAAAAATAATTTTTACCTAGATATCCACTGATATCCAAAGGGGACAAGATTTGGCCTGAATACAAGCTGAATGCCTAAGCCATTATGGCAACCTGGATGCTATTATATGCCAAGAATGAGAAATTTTAAAGAGCAAGAAAGGATTCCCTTCCCACACTTTATGAGCATAAAGCTCTCATTTGGTACACCATGAATAAAAGTGATAAACAGCTAGCATAAACACAAACTTAAAAAAAAAAAAAGTTTTATAGGCTGGAATATTTAGAATTACAATTATATACATTTTAAATAGACTCATTTGGTAAATTAATTGAGTTTGTGAAAGAGAACAAGCTGTAGCAAATCATTTGGGCTACCTTGATAAAGCCTGGAATTAGATGATCTGGGCCTTTACCTAAGCAAGATGGGGAACACCATTTGAAGAACACCCCAGAAAGAAAATTCTAGTTAGACTGGAAAAGGGTTCACGAGGTTCCGTGCAGGACTGTGAGAAGACCAGAAAAAGCTGAGGCTGCCCCAGCCTTTAAGGCTCTGCAAACACCTAGCAGAGCCTGCACTGAGGATAGATACACTGCTGGGGACAACATCTTAAATGAACAGGCCAGGGCCACAACCCAAAGGAAAAAGGTTCAGAGGCTAAAAGGCAAGGTTCAAAGGAGGCAGACCGCAAAAGGTATGATCGAGGAGACCATATAGAGACTTTAAGTATGCCGTAAGAAAACAGAGAGCTGAGAGCTCTGCAGAGAGGACAGTTGACCTGGAATGGAACAGTCTTACCCTTCTCATTTACAAGAAAGGATAATAGTGGAACCAACATAGGACAATACTGTAACAATTAGAATGATGCACCAACTGGCAATGGAGGCAGACCCAAAACGCATGTCCATGAGGTAGAGTTAACTACCACTTAACGTTAGGCAAACAAGAGAGACCATGAAAAAGGACCTTACATCAGAAATGAGACTGCTATATAAGGCATGAGGAAAATTAGGCACAGTTTAGCAAACAAGTAATGCTTTGAACACTTTTCAGAAATGAACACTAAACAGAGGAACATGAGAAGAAACAGACACCATGGGGCACATAAGGGAAATAGATGATGAAAAGGAGACAGATGGGGCAAAAAATAAAGAATTAAAAGATGGTGACAGATATGAAATCCCAAGGTCTATCAGAATTACCCAAAAACTAAAATCAAAGAAATAAAAAATAATAAATTCAAGAAAAAATTCCTGAAATAAAAAAATTTAAATACACAAAATCACTCCTGTGAAAACTGACTCTGAACTAGTGACACTAAGACATTCTAGTAAAACAAATGGACTTTAAAATAAATAACATCTCTTGAGCATCCAGGACAAGAACTATATTATATATAAGGAAAACAGAATGTGACAACATTGTGTGCCACAAGACAACAGTGTGACAAAATTAAGGTTGTCAGGTAAGAAATCGTAAGCCAAAGGTTTTGTAATCAGCCAAGAATTCTGACCTCAAAGTAAAAGGTCACACACAAAACAGTGTCAATGTGTAAGAATTTGGGGAACAGTTCTCACAGATGCTTCCTGCAGAAGTTACAGGACAAGAATTTCAGATAATCAAAGAACACTTAGAAAAGTTTCATAATAGGGCCAATAGTAAACCATGAATATATCTAACTGCAGAACAAACATGGAGACAAGAAATAAAATAGTATGTAACTATTATCTGCTCTAAAAGGGTTAAAACACTACTCTGAAAACAGAAGGAAAGAATATGTAAAGTAGAAACAGCTTGCTGAACAAAAGAATATTACAAGAAACAAATTACCTTACATTCAATGGAGAGAGGAAAGGACAGAGCCAAGAGCTAAATTCAATACTGTTCTACGGAAGGAACCGATCTATATCACTGGAAAAAATGAACAGTAAAAAGAAAAAAGCTTAAAGAGGCACTATCAAGTCTGTAACTTGCAACTATACTACTACTCAAACCCTGAAAGACAGTGAAATTCAAGACCTTTTCATATTCCCTGAGAATGTGCCACCACATCCAATTGATCATCTGCGGGAAAGAGATGGTGACAGTAATTACATTTTCCCTTTAGAATACGGGAATCATTTTTAGCATATTTTTCTTCAGAGACAATCAAATCACCTATCTTCTTTTGATCTTTAAGCAAAAGTCCTAGTGATTCATGTTGTATACAGGATCAGGCTTTCTTCACAGCAAAGGCAGAGCTTGGTCCCTAAACCTCATCAAGGAAGAAATTCAGTCATATGCACCTTTTTTGTAATTCACAGACATTCTACTATCACAAGCAAATACGGCATCATCACCAGTGACAGTTAATTTTAATATGTTGACTTTTAATATGTTGGCTGAGCCACAGTACTCAGCTATTTGGTCATTACTCTAGATTTTTTCCTGTAAAGGGCTTTTTTTGGGGGGGTAGAAAAACATGTAAATCAGACCACCCTCCACAATGTAGGTAGGCCTCTATCACTTAAAGGATTAAGAAAAAGTGTTGTCTACCCAAGGGAAGAGGCAATTCTACCTTTGGACTCCAGCTGCAACCCTGGGTCTTCCCTGGGTCTCTAATCTCTATATAAACACACACACACTTGCACACACATGCACACCACTGGTTCAGTCTCTCTGGAGAAAACTGACTACAATCAAGAAAAGATCCCATCCTAGATTCAGAGACATGAAATTTCTACTACCGTGGTTCTCAACAAGACCAATACAGACTTAGCCAGTGACAGCAGAAAAGGGTAACTGGCAGACTCAGAGCACCGATTTTCCAGTTCAGTCACTCATCCTTTCTTCATCCATTAGCTGCATTCTTCTGTACTGTTTGGCTCTGGAAGAGGGAGATGTTTGATGCTTCTCTAATCACATTTCAGAACAAGTAGTTTTCATCCCGGCTGCCTCCAATGGTGGTTACAAGGCTTGCCTCTCTCTCCTGAGCTTTACAAGGGACTCAAATATGGCCAGTGGGCAACTCCTTTCACATGGCTCCCATATCCTTTAATTGTGAAGACACCCTACTTTTTCCTTTTGCATGAATTTTAATTCCTCACTTTACGGGAATTTTAATCAACTTTTGCTGTGATAATAATGCCTGGGTCTATTCTAACATTGTTTTGTTTGCAATACTTTCATTTCCTCACAGCTTTCTTCCTTTATCTGTATATTCAGAGTGAGGTTTTCTTTGCACCAAATAAAGCATCTAATGAAAGCTACAGCTCTTATTTCTAGTCTTCCAGCAATTATTCCTAACTTTTGAAATATCACATTTTAACTTACATTTTCCCTTCCCCAGACCAAGCAAGACTAAAACTAAACAAAAATTTCTTTGTAAAATAAAAATTTTAAAAGCAAACATGTTAGCACATAAGTAAATCCACCTGGCCAATTTTTATCACTGCTGAAATTTAGGCTTCTGTTCTAAATCATTTTTCATTTCGCTATCTTAAGAATACAAACGATGCCTTATTTAGAAATAAACAAAGAAGGATTTTTGTTGCTTTCTTCCCAATGTTTTCATATATTTTGTTCTCATGTCTATTTTGTCTTTCTATATACATGCACTGTTCAGAGAGGGTTGATAAATGTAAACTCTAAAACTCTTGCAAGCATCAAAATATTATTTTGCCCTCATCCCCAAATAACCTAGGTATTACAAATCAGGTTCCAAAACCCTTTCCCCTTAGCACTTTTACTGGGAAAAAAGTATTTTCATTTTCTTCTATCTCCCAGTTAGGTAACAGATGCCAATCCAATCCTTTTTTTTTTTTTTTTTGAGAGTAACCTGTTTTTCTCTTTGAGCTTTTAAAATTTTCTTTGTTTCTGGATTCTGAAATGCTACCAGAACTTACATGTTTTTAATGATCCCTCACTACCACTTGATCAATCTAAAGAGAGCTGTGCAAAATCATCTTCCACGTTTATTGTTCTCCACCTCCATCCCCCTTTTTGAAATTCTTATTAGATGAACGCTAACACTTTCAGATCTATCCTCTGTGACTCAACTTCCCTCTCATACTATTCAAGAACTCCTTGGCTCAAATTTTCTTGAATTTCTTTAGGTAAAACAGGCTTCAATTTCTGCCTATCGATTATCTTATATAATAGGATTTTTTATTTCTACAAACTGATCGTTTCCTTAACTTTTTTTTTTTTAATTAACATGCCTCTGATCCTTGAGGATTTTTACTCCCTTTCCTGATCCCTTATGAACTTTTTGTGTTCGGCTCTACTTATGCTGGGTCTGTTGTCATCTAAGTGGTGGTTTTCTCCACATTTGCTGA